CCCCCAGCACCACATGCCAGCCAGCGCGCCCCCTGGTGGGCTGAGCTGGCCACACACACACACACACACACACACACATAAATAAATAAAATTAAAAAAAATAAAATAAAATAAAATACAGATAGAAAGAGTAACTGCTAGAAATAGTGAAAAAGATGCTAAGAGACATGCTGTTGAGACTGAGAAGCTCTAATGACATCTCACTGAATTCCAGAAGCTAACAAATGAAGAAAAGTCAGTATTTCAAAAGAATTTTCTATACATGTCAAAAGGCAGCAATCTTCTACAGCCAGGAAGCTAATGGATCCCAAGCACAACAAAAATACTTCCTCCCTTCTGTTCTCCCCACCCCCACCCCCACTTCTTTTCTTTCCTTTTTTTTCTTTTTGTACAGGGTCTTGCTATAAAGTTCAGACTGGCCTTGAACTCACTATGCAGTTCAGGCTGGCCTTGAACTCAAATGTTATCTTTTTTTTTTTTTGGTGAAACCAGGGATTGAACTCAGGCCCTTGCGCTTGCCAGGGAAGCGCTATATGTTATCTTCTTGCCTCAGTCTCCCAAGTGCTAGAGTAATAGGCAGGTACCACCATCTCTAGCCTATACTTTTAAACATCCTAGATAACATCAGACTACAAAAGCAAAACATTCAAATTAATCAAAGCAGAACAAAATTACTTACAAATGATTTCCATTTAGCACTTAAAAACTAAAATATTACATGAGATCTGTACAAATACATTAGGCCTTAGCCATATGTGGCTACTTAAATAAAACTCCAGTTGTACCAGCCACATGAAAGAGCCCAATAGTCACAAGTGGCAAGTATATACTGATACCAAACATGTCCATCACTACAAAATGTATCTGACATCACCAAATTAGACTAAAAAATGACTTTTAGAAGCAACAAAGGAAGGTCAACAACAGTAGAATGATTTCTACAATAAGCTGAAAATAAAAAAGTCATCTGAGAATTCTGTAGCTAGTAAACAGCCTTTCAAGAAAAAAAAATCAGTTTTATACAAGAAAAATCTGACAGTGTTAACAAGCCTCTATCTAAAGGAAATTTTATAGGACAAACTTTGGATATACAGAGAATGATTCAGTATGGGAGAGTTGAACTCCAAGGAATGATGAACAATGAAAATGGTAAAAAGTTATTAATAGGGTATACTGATGAATGTCCATTTTGTATCTGTGTATTCAAAGAGGTTGGGATAGATATATAGTTGCATTCTCTTAATGAATAGAATGATTTGTTCTAATGGTGTTTGTAAATAGGATCACAAGTCCGCATCTTGTACAGCAATTAACCACTAAGAAGAATATATGCAGTGTATTATTTGTTGAAACTGTACTTCTGATTTGATTTGAAACTGTCTCATTGCTGTTTATCAATAAAACTTTGAAAAAAAATAAAATAAAATAAAGAAGCAGGACCATTAGAAGGAGAGAAAAAAAAAGTTATTAATAAATGTTGATTACATAAAACAATAAGGTATAGGGGAAGGGAAATGGACAGAATTAAGACATACATTAGCATATGGGGATAACTGGAGTTAAAATGTACTAAGACTCACCACACAGACCAAAACAAAACAAAAAAACAGTAAGACATATCAAGATAATATCACGTTTAACTTATTTAATCTCACTCAGGAGAGCACTATATCCAACAACTGGCAAACACATATCTTCTCTAAATAACTATATAATGGTTCTGGTAACTGACTACTGAGTCATAAACCTAGGTCTCTATAAATTTCAATGTGAACATTCTCTGACTACAATACAATAAAGTTAAAATCACAACAAAAATATAGGTAGCAAGGTTCCATGTTTAAAAATTTAAAATATTTCCTTAAAACAGTAAAAATCTATATACCCTCTATATATTTCACATCAATTTGGGTGAATCTCATATAATGGTAACTGAAACAAGCCACAAATAACCAAAGAGGGTTACTTACATAAATTAAGGTACACAATCACTGATGGTTAACAATGTATGTCATTATGTATAATAAACGTATAATGAAATAGAAGAGAGCAATTAATAATACTCAGTCTAATGGTTATTTCTGGGCAATAACAGTGGAAAGAAGATACACAAAGAGCTTTAATGGTTTTATTAATGTTTCATTTCTTGAGCTAAGGACTAGACATATAGGTGAACACTGTGTTTTAATTTTTCAAGCTCTAAAGCCCTTTAGATAATAAACATGTAATTAAAAACAAAACAAAAGGAAAAATAACTAGATATAATTGTCAAAGTCAAGCTAAAAAGTGAATGAGTGAACAAGCTGCCACTGTACTCAGGCTTACTTCTCCGGTCATCAATATTACTCCTTTCCTCCTTTATCAACCAACAAAGGCAGAATTACTCCTTTTCTGTGATTCCTTCAGGAAAAGAACATTTCTGTCTATGATCTCCCCTATATTCTCCAAAGATTCAATCCATGATGTCATCTTTTTCAATCTTGTGCTTACCCCACATCGTTGAATTTATAAACACTTGTTCATAAATTTCTACCTTATAAAGAAATAATATCAAGCAACACAGGTGAGACATTCTGCTTTACCTGCATATCACTTTTGGCAGCTTTCACAGCATCAAAGAGATCACAGGCTGGTAACTGTAGCATTTTCTGGCCATTTTGACACATAACTTGAGACCCCTTCTTTGGATGTTTTGCCACCTAGCATATTAAAAAAGGAAAGTGATGTTATACCTGCTTTCCTCATTATCACCTATAGGGGTTTAAACTACTAATTCCATACAAGACTTTAACATATTGTCCCTCATTTTATATAACTGAAATTTACATTGTTGTGAACCTTTTCTTTTAAAAAGTTCACAGACCCCCCCCTTCATCTCTATGTCCTAATGTTCTTTTTTTTTTTTTCTCTTCAATCCTAATTTTGACTCTTAAAACTTTTTAAGTCTTATCTTTCCATTAACCACATCACCTGAGCCTCTTATGAGGTCTCTTTTACTGTTTCCCACACCAGATTCAAAAACAAAACAAAACTGACTTACTGGGGTTGTTTTATGTGGTCGTTTTGCTCTTCTCTTCTTCACATTTTGTCTCAGGTTGTCTTCAAAGTCACTGCCTCCATCACCAGACAAAGAGGGACTAGCCCTATGAGGGAGTATGGTTCTCCTAAATATAGCCACCCCATTCCCTCTACATAAAGGTTAACCTTTTAGTTCTCTTTGTCTCTAACTGTATCCTACCTCCATGAGAAAAACATATCCAGATTTTTAAAAAGGGATATGCTTGTAGCAGTAGTTACAGGACAGTAGGGACAAGTCTCAAACCAAAATTTTCACTTTCTTGAAAGCCACAGAGATGAATTAGAAACAGACAGGTACAAAACAATGTCCTGACGTCCTTTCCAAATAAGGAAATCAAATCAATATTCAACAGGAGAGAGACTATTTTTCTGTGTGGAGAAAAGTCAGCATCATATATATATGTCACTCATACATAAACAGACTAATATGTACCTGGAGTTATATTTCACCTTTCGAAATACAACCATATGTTTTAGTGATTCAAATTTATAACACTGATAAAATCTGATCTCCAACAGCAACAGCACTGACAGAAGCAGAAATGATTCAGAGAAGCCCAATTAAAATAAAGAGGAGATAAAATAAATCTTGTAGATTTGGGTGTTTTTCCTGGAAAAATGAAAACAAAGACATACTACTTTAACTTTCACAGAATAAATTCATAAGCTATAACAAATAAAGAGAGAGGTAGTGGTTTGTAAAATTCCAAAAAGAACTACAGGCCACCTAAAGGGAACATATAATTTGTCAGGAAACACATAAAACACTATAACTTATTTATATCTCCCATGCATTTATGCATGCTGAATACAGAAACCTATTCAAGATAGGTTTAAGCCAGGCATGATGGCACATGCTTGTAGCCCCAGCACTAGGAAGACTGAGGCAGGAGGATCATTGCAAATTTGAGTCCAGCCTGGGCTATAAATTGAGCTCAAAGTCAGCCTGAACTGCATAGGGAAACCCTGTCTCAAAAAGACAAAAGGAAAAAAAAAAAAGGTTTAGACAGCAAGTTGCATAGTAAAGAGTCACGATGCGCTCTTCTGGATATTCACAAGGTGGAGGGCAGCCAAGAAACACCAAACAGAGCTGGAGCGCATCACTATTCTAAAGCTTCATAGCATTTCTGATGTTTTCATACAGTCCCACACATACTACAACCAGTTCAGGAAAGTGATAGTAGAAAGCTGCTTAAAATACAGGAGGCTGCAGCAAAACACTACAACTTCTCACCATTTCCACTCACCCCTGAGAAGCCAAGTCGGAGCCCTTATCTTCAGAAGGCAGACTGCTAGAAGAGCTAGAAGAAGCTGACAAAGCCCTCTGTGCATCTCCCACAGATCTTTGTTGTGAAGAGGGCACAACATTTGGGTAGGAGAAGGAGCTCTGCCGCTGGGAGGAGGATCTTAAGGTAGGCATGCTGATCCAGCTGCGGGAAGAAAGCAAGAGGCTCCTGCCCCACCAGGCCTCCATCCTGGGTCCCAACCAATCCCTTTCTCTCTAAAGGAACTGCTCTATAACTGTTAGGTGGGTGGGGTACCAAAAATAAGGCAGAGTTGCCTTAACCTAACGTCAAAGGATCAAAAACACCAAGCTTTAGTACAGCTTGGGCAACTCAAATGTCTTAGAGTGATCCAGTCCCTCCGACCCCCGCCAACAAATAATATTAAAGGACTGGGGATATAGCTCAGGAGGCCCTAAATTCAAAATAAAATTGAAAAATAAAAACACCACACATAGGGGCTGGTGAGATGGCTCAGTGGTCTAAAGCACCTACTTAGAACAAGCTCGGCAAAGCACAGGGACCGCGGTTCAATCCCCCAGCACCACATGCCAGCCAGCCCCCCCCCCTGGTGGGCTGAGCTGGCCACACACACACACACACACACACATATAAATAAATAAAATTAAAAAAAATTTTTTTAAATTAAAAAAAAAAAACACCACACATAATACCACCCCAAGTGGCTAGAGGATTCAGGGCTGCTCCCCAAGAGCAGCGACAGATACACCCCTCTTAGGAGACTTCGGAAACTTGAGAAAAAGTGAGGAAAATAACGGGATAGGAAGCACTTAAGATTTGGGGATGGTGACATTACGTGGCGCATCCTCTTTTTCCTGAAGGTAACGTCTACGGGAAACAGTAGGAAAACTTAATCAGATTTCCAACTGGGGGTTGTCCGCCTCTGGGAACACTCTGAAGTACTGACATGGCGGCCGTGGAAGGAGGGGGTGAGGTGTGTCTTTATCTCTGAGCCCCGAGCACCCGGGTGGGTGCATTCTTGAGTCAAAGGGGAACCTCACTGAGTCCGGAAGGGTGAGTTCTAGCTGAGCCCAAATGAGCAGAGATCTTTCAGGTCCCTGTGGTCACCCACCTCACGTACAGGCACCCGCCGCTTCCGTTCGTAAGACTTGAGGAAAACGCGGGAAGGCACAAGGCGCACAGTGCGCAAGCGCGAGACCAAACTTCGCGCAGCTGGAGTGTTCTCGCGAGGCTTTGGGAGTGCTAGCTCGTGCTCACCACGTTCCAGTCACGCATCTCTGGCTGCCTCGAGCAGTAACTAGTCCCCAAGCGTGAGATCCTGTCACTTGAGCGTAGGCGCTCAGGGCATGGGAAAGTTGGGGGCTGCTTTAACCCGGTGCCTCCCTAGCCCAGACCCTTATCCACAAAAGTTCCCTCTCCTTTGGCCAGGCTTTGGACTAGACTAGTAATAACTCTTTCAACCGGACTTATCTATGGCAATAGGCTGGATGCACCCAGGCCCCGCCCTTCTAGCCGGACCGCCACGCCCCCAAGAAAGACCACGCCTCCACGTGGCCACATCCCGCCCCTCTGCCGAACTTCCCCGATACATTGGCTTAATTTTTTCTCCGGCCCCGCCCGTAAAGCCGCTTCTTATTATCATTGGCGGGGCTCCGCCTCGGGCCCCGCCCCCTGTCCAGCTCTGGGCTCCCATTGTCTCCGCAGATGCCGCCTGGTGCAGCAATCGTGCTTCGTGCGGTTTTCGGAGGTCGTACTCTTTCTCTGGCCGGTCCATCGGTCCCGCGGCCAAGAACCAGATTTTGGAGTTCAGTCGGCTCTGCTTCCTCCTTAGGACCCACTTTGCTGTCCCAGCTATGTCTGCTCTGCGACCTCTCTTGCTTCTGCTGCTGCCTCTGTGTCCCGGTCCTGGACTGGGACCCGGGAGCGAGGCAAAGGTCACCAGGAGTTGTGCAGAGACCCGGCAGGTGCTGGGGGCCCGGGGATATAGTTTAAATCTAATCCCTCCCGCCCTGATCTCAGGTGAGGAGAAAGAGGAAGAGAATAGGGGTCGAGGGGTGGGGGGCGGGTCCTGCGCATCACACAATAACTCTTTTACAGTGACTGTTATAATAGTCTTTTCATCCTGTAGTAATCTCACTTCTCCTACAACTTCTTTACCAGGATCACAATAAGCCTCCTGCTCACATAATAGCTTTTACTCCGCCCCTACCCTAGGAATCCCTCTCTAGTAATTAGCACCCTCCGAAGTGATTTCTTCATAGCTAGACGCTTAGGGCTATTTCTAGGAGCCCCTTCCATAATAATTCTTGCTGAGTAACCCCACCCTTTCAAACCACCTTCGTTATCGTTCTGAAGCTGTCAGGCAAGTCATTCAGAGGCCTAGGGTGTAGGATGTTGGAAAGGGTCACCCAAGGACACCCCATCACCCTAATTTTGGCCCCCAGGGCAGCCATCAAATAAATGATCCCATGGCTAATGAGAGGGGACTTGGAGTTGGTTGAAGAGACAATAAGGAGGAGGCAGGTGGCTATAAGGGGTGCAGACAATAGAAAAAGAGAGTAGAATGGTGGAAGAGATAGGCCAGTCCCTAGAGATCAGTGGGAGATGGACAGCATGTCACAATACCCCTTGCCACCATTCCTTCCTTTTTCCTTGTCCAGGTGAGCACCTCCAGATCTGTCCCCAGGAGTACACCTGCTGTTCCAGTGAGACAGAGCAGAAGCTGATCAGGGAGACTGAGGCCACCTTCCGGGGCTTGGTGGAGGACGGCGGCTCCTTCCTGGTTCACACACTGGCTGCCCGGCACAGGAAGTTTAATGGTGAGGACATGGGGTCACCAAAGATACTTTATACTTCTTTTCGTGCTTAAAACCCCAGCAAGTTCTTGTCTCCTCTTCTTCCTCCACCCCTGCTTATCTCCAATCCCCTGCCCAGACTCTTTCCAGGACTGTGTACCCCTAATTCCCTACCTGCTAAGCCTCAGAATTGCCCATTTTCTAATTCACTTTTTTCTTCTCTTCTCTCCTCATCCCCAACCTCTTTTGCCTCTGTCATTTCACTGTTCTTTTCTCTGGCCTCACCACCTGCTCCCACTCCCTGCTTTCGCTAGAGTTTTTTCGGGAGATGCTTTCTCTATCCCAGCAATCGTTGGCCCAGCTCTTCTCGCACTCCTATGGCCGCCTGTATTCCCAGCACGCCCTCATCTTCAACGGCCTGTTTTCTCGCCTGCGGGACTACTATGAGAAGTCTGGTGAGGGGCTAGATGACACCTTGTCGGATTTCTGGGCACAGCTTCTGGAGAGAGCTTTCCCCCTGCTCCACCCACAGTACAGCTTCCCCCCTGATTTCCTGCTCTGCCTCACACGCCTCACTTCAACCACTGAAGGTTCTCTGCAGCCCTTTGGGGACTCACCCCGTCGCCTCCGCCTGCAGGTGAGGAAGGGTAACAAGGCCTGAGCTTCAGCCACCTCTGGTCTGGTAACCTCTGAACTGTGTACCACTCACCTCCAAACCAGTGACCTTCTGTGCCCCAGTCCCAGTCTGCACCTTAGCCATCTTTAACCTGGAGATCCCTGACTCAAGCATTGGTCACCTGTTTGTGACTTAGTGCTCCTTGGTCTCCTTTAACGGGATAGCCTCCTCTTCTTTGCCTTAGTTTTATACAAACACACATATGCCCTCACACCCCAGCCAAGCCACTTTTCTGCCAATTCCTGCTAATTCTAACATCTTGACACAATCTGGACAAATAAACATGAATTAGTCATAATAGCTGAGAAGCATTTTCACTCATAGCATGTCATTTGTCATCATAATTCTTTAAGATACATGACTATTCTTTTATAGATGAGAAAACTAGAGTTCCCAAAGGTGTAGATTTTACTTCCAGTAAGTGGTGAAGCTGTGCCTCATTCCCTGGTCTTCTGGCTTCAAAGTCAGGGTGCTGGTACACAATCTCCCTGTCTCCACACCCTGTGCAACACAATACCTGCAGCCCTTCCCAAACCCAGTTCCCCTTAATCCATCTAGACTGTAATTCCTTCAAATCCCTGAACCTGCCTCTGAATTCCACCTGACACTCTGTCCACTCCACAATAAGCCCATAAACCTAAACCCCACAGTTCATGCCTTGGGTATAGTCTCTTGGCCCCAGTCTTGACTGACCTCTGATAACAGGTGTGTGTGTGTGTGTGTGTGTGTGTGTGGTTTTTTTCCTCACCTTCTTTCCCTTCCTCAGATAACTCGGGCCTTGGTGGCTGCCAAGGCCTTTGTCCAGGGCCTGGAGACTGGAAGAAGTGTGGTCAGTGAAACACTTAAGGTTAGAAGGGATCCACTTGTGGACAGGGCCCAGGGAGGGAGAGGCAGAAGTGGGAGAGACCCCGTGAGGCAGAGACAGGCGCCAGCTGGAAGGAGAAGACAGACCTTCTCCTATCAGCTTCCAGGCCCTGGCCCCCCAGGGTAAATGAGGGGAGAGGGAGGCTAGAGTCAGGTCTCCACTGACCATGTTTTTCCATGATCTTCTGTAACCCCTGACCCTCTCCTGCCCTCTGCCTCATACCTCTTCCAGGCTCTAAGAGCCTCTTCATCTCCATAGTGGCCTGAGATTGGAGTACTGACCTTCCTGTGTCCCCCAGGACCTCTCAGTGACTTTTGCCCTGCTGCTGAAGGCCTCCATCACCCATCCTGTCCCTGACCTCCCAGCTTTACCTCCTTCCTCCTCACCATCCCTTCCCTCCCTCCCCAAGACAGGCTCACTCTTGTCCCTGATCGTTCCTCAGACACCTCCCCCAGTAATACCCCTCCTATAAAGCAAAATCTGTGACCAGACCCCCAGGAATTTCTGGCAGTCCTGCAATCACCAATCCTTGATGCACATGGGCCTGGGGTTGTAGGGCTGGGTAGTATATTTGGCTTCTCTTTGTGCTTAGCAGCAGGCTTGACCATGATCATCCAACGTATTTGTAGATAAAACAGCCCAGTTCTCTGCCCTCAGGTTCCTGTGTCTGAAGGCTGCCGGCAGGCTCTGATGCGTCTGACTGGCTGCCCCCTTTGCCGGGGAGTTCCCTCACTTATGCCCTGCCGGGGCTTCTGCCTCAATGTGGCCCATGGCTGTCTCAGCAGCAAGGGACTGGAGCCTGACTGGGGCAGCTACCTGGGTGAGGGGGTTCAAGAAAGCCTGGGATGGAAGAGGGTCCTCAGTAAGGCTGAGGGCTGTGTGGGGAGGGGAGCTGGCAAGGGGTCTAGAGCCTTGTGAGGAGAATACAGTTTGGGAGGGGGTGTTCCTCCAATACTTCGCTGCTTCCTTCTAAAGCCCTGGTGAGGATTTGTGGGGAAATCCTAGTTCAGTATACAACCTTAACCCCTTTTTCTCTTCCTCATCTCCTTCAAGATGGTCTCTTGCTCCTGGCTGAGAAGCTCCAGGGCCCCTTTTCCTTTGAGCTGGCTACTGAGTCCATTGGGGTGAAGATCTCAGAAGGGTTGATGTATTTGCAGGAAAACAGTGTGAAGGTGTCAGCCAAGGTATGGGAGGCAAGGATGGAGGGACACTGCGCTGTCAGCCTAGGTAGAGGGAGGGAAGGGTGGGGAGATGGGGGACGTTGTGGAATGTAAGCCCAGGTGCAGGAAGAGCAGAGGTGAGGCCCAGGGTGGGGGACAGTTTGGGCATCTGAGAAAAATGTAGAGTGGGACTGGGAACAGTGTGGGTCACCAGCAGGCTGACTGCTCCAAGGCTGACTGTCTCAAGGTCTGCTACCTGCACAGGCGTTTCAGGAATGCGGGACTCCCCATTCTGTGCCAGCCCGACACCGCAGAGCACCAGCGCCTCGGGAAGAGGCAGGCCGACCATGGAGGGCAGTGGCCGAGGAGGAGCGGCCCACGACGGCGGCAGGCACCAACCTGCACCGGCTGGTACGTGGCGGGCGCGGCGAGGTACACGGGCAGGCCGGGGTCGCAGGGTCGCATTGCAGCTGGGCCTGCCCCGTCTGTCGCACAGGTTTGGGAGCTTCGTGAGCGGCTGGGCCGGGTGCGAGGCTTCTGGGCCGGGCTGCCCCTGACGGTGTGTGGGGACTCCCGCATGGCCGCAGACATCTCGCAGGAGGCGGCACCCTGCTGGACTGGCGTTGGGCGAGGCCGGTGAGAGTCGGGCAGCGGCGGGGGGCGTGTGGGCTTCCGGGAGACACGGCAGGCAACCAGAGCCATCTGGCGCTGTGCTGGTAGGTATCAGTCGCCTGTGGTCGGGGCCTCCCCAACTGAGCAACTCCATAACCCGGAGCTAGACGTGGATGCCTTGGGCCCCGACATCCTCACGCGCCGCCATCGGCTGCAGCTCCGCGCGGCCACTGCCAGGATGAGGGCTGCTGCTCTGGGCCAGGATCTGGACATGCGGGACGCAGGTGAACCCCGCCCACTATCCCGAAGACCCCGCCTACTACTGCGTGAGCTCCGCCCCCCTGCCCTCCACGGAGAGCTCTGCCCATTAGTGCGAGTCCCACCCATTATCCATAAGCTCCACCTACTGTCCAGGAGGTCTGCCCATTATTGTCCCCTGAGCCCAGTGCCTGCTGCTCCGCAAGCACCGAGCACCGCTCGCTTCATGGCCCCATTTCCCTCTGCTCCCCAGGTTTCTTAGCTTTATTCATTCTCCTTCGTTTAAGCCTTTCCTGCTCTCCTGACTCAAGAGGTAGGGGTAAAAGACCAAAGAATGAGTGAATCTCTATCCTAGGGTGCATGGGGCCGTGGGAAGTGCAGAAATTTACAGGACGGTGGAGAAGCTTC